CTCGTCCGTGGTCTGCGCGTGCAAGTTGTCCATGATAAGAATGGACCTCGCCCTGGGGAGCCCACCCCGCCCGCGCATCACGCTTTTCTCGGGGGCACCCAGGGGCACGACGCGTGCGTACAATGCCCACCCTCCCCCTCTAAAAAAATACAAATAAATGTTGATATGTGGGGTATGTACCCCTCCCAAATCCAATACTCTGTACTCTGGGATCACTCCCCCCTCTTCCCTCCCTCCCCCTGCGAGTATTCTGATCTGGCAGCCACTGCATTGCTGTCGTTCTTATTTGTAGCAGCAGTTTGGCACCTCAGGTGTGCGTTCTTGTTCCTAACAGGACGTGCAGCTGAGCACGTGTTCTTATCGGTAAATTCTCAAGTTTTGGATTTTTTGAGCATCAAATTCTAAAAGTGCCATAATATTCTTAAGTGCGGGCCGGCACTGTATGTATGCAAAGGACAATGAATGGATATCCTGTATGTATGTACATCTATCTTGTCAAAAGCACAACCGGGTTTCAAATCCCTCGAGGGCCAGTTGTGACGCCTTTTTTCGGGGGAGGAATACACGCCTGAGAGAAAGTACATTCCAGTCGTCCAAGTGAACAGACACAAAAAATATTCCCGCGCGTAAGTCGACGAAGGGCATGGGGCAGCGCTGAATACAGGGATTTTAACCCTCTGTAGTACTCTTGTTAGTTGTACCGCATATCCACAATACTACAAGTCAGCACTAACTTGTGGCGCAGTGGATGAGCTGTACATCAAACAGCCGGCTGTACGTCTCGTATGGGGGTCAGCAACTCGGTGTGGGGAAGACGTTCTCGAAGGCCTATGTCCCCGGTCCTGAATTTGACCTCAAGCTTTGTTCCTGCATCCATTGGTCCATGTAGGTAGTCCTTGAACCCTATTCCTTCCTCGTACGCTTCTAGACCCTCCTTATCCTTGGATTCTTTCCTCAGATTCTGTTCTTCTCTCTCGGCACAAGCAACAGATATCTTCTCCTTGAACCCCTGTAGACC